GTTTCCATAGTATAAGTGTGTTCCGCCACATCTCGGTGCTGTTTTCAAGGATGGAGCCTGGGATCACATTCAGGTCCACATGTGTAAAAGGCAAATATTTTACCAACTTAGTCATCTGGCCAGAACCCCAACACACACACACACGCATGTGCATGCACACACACACACACACACACACCTCACACGCACATGCGCGTGCACACACCTCATTTTAATGACCTATTTCTGCTACAGCTGTTTACAGCCCTTAATTGTAGAAGCATTGGGGGTTCTGGTAGCCTTGAAACTGATTTCTACTTCTTGAATTTCCATATCAGCAGGCAAAGGGTAGGGAACTGGGCAGAGCCTAAATGAACTATTCTATCATTCGTACCCATAGCTATGGGAAATGTCAAACATCTTGACAAATGTACCCTTATTGTGAAAACGGGTCTTGCTTTGCTGAAACCACAAATGAATTCATGAAACTATAATTATTTCCTAAAACTGTAAAAGTCCTAAACTTACTTAAAGTGTAAAAACTTTCCAATGCCTTTACAATTTGCCTGGAAATTCTTTCATTTGAACCATTTTCCAAAATGGAGTGCTTCTAATTAAAACAGAGTATTGAATGTTCCTCTGCCATTTGCTTTCCGTGAACAGGTGCTAATCAAAGCACTGAGCACCGGAAGCTGGTAGCTGAGTGACCGCAGAGAACACAGCTAACGTGGCCACTAAAACACTGGATTCCACAAAACACTTTAGGGTCTAAGCAAATAATAGCACCGGCTTTAATGATCCGCCTGATTGCCAGCCAACACCCGGAAGAACAAACACAGCTGGAGCTGTAAACAGCAGCCCCCTGGCTTTTGGACGCTGCTTTAGGAGACTCTCCCACTCCTCTCCACGAGCCCTCAGAGAGTGGGTGTCTTATGGGGGTGGGGGTGGGGGTGGGGAGGAGTGGGGGGGAGTCTCAGTTTCCCTGTCTCCTGATCACAGGAGTGGAAACAGTGAAGGGTACCAGGTTCTCCAAAACAGCATCCTCGTGCAGGGAAAAAGAAAGGTTAAATGACCGGTCTCTGGCCACCTGTGCTCACAGCCTTCCTGGAGTCCTGGCCTTCAAGATGTTTCCTGCCGTCTTATAAAGAAAACGAGAGACACAGACACTGTTGCTCAGATTGCTGGGCGCCTTGCTAATACAATCATCCATAAAACTGTAAAGTTATTTCTATAAGGAACCTTCATTCCGAAAATTATCTAAATGATGATGGTATCCAGAAGAAAATACCAGGACCCTCAGATGGTTCAGTTAGAATCTTCACATACAAACATATATACACACACACATACACACACACACACACACACACACACACACACACACACTGTAAAATCCTTATGCAAATATATCAAACTCTTGATACATGATGTCTCCAATGACAGAACGATCGAGCTCTACCCTGCTCCTCTGTTTAGTTAAGTATATGGCTCATTTGAAAGCTTTTCAGAAAGACGAGAAAAAAATGCTCTTTGCTTTGTTAATAATATATATTGTGGGAATTGTGTTTTTAAATTAAAAATCAATTTATGGTTTTCAATCAGGCATCAGTGAATCCAGCCTTATGTTTTGATGGCATCGCATACCAGTGCCTCCTGGGGGCTTATCACCACACTGACATGGTTAGACAGTAGAGAGAAGTCGTCTTTCTCACCCTGGTCGCCTGAGGACCATTCCCATCATAAGATCACAGGGTCTGGACTAGGAAGCTCATGACAAAAATCCAGAAATCCATACATGTAAAGAGAGAGACAGTGAAAGCCAAGAGACAAGAATGATTGAGGGCATTGAAAACGTTGCCTTCTGATTTGGTCCAATTATCCTTGTCGTAGTAAAATACCCGAGACTAAATAGTGAATAAAGAACAAAGAACCATAGAGGTTTATTTGGCTCATAGCTTAGGAACCTGAATGTATAATATGAAGTAGTTGTTTTTTGTTGGCTTTTTCTAGGTGTCTTGTAGTGATGGTACTTTGGCAGGCACATGTATGGGGAGGTCATATCATGACATTTGAGTCCAAAAACAATTAAAGGGCCAGATTCCATATTATTTACAATAAGTTACTCAGGTAGTGAACTACCAGGTCCCAGGAAAACTACCTTCCTTCCTCCTAAGGGCAGTGCCCCCAGTGACCCAACAGTCTCCATCGGTGTCCACCTCTTCAAGGCCCCAACACCTCACCACCAATAACAGTAGTACTCTGAGCACTGGCATTTTGACATGAATCCTCGTGGACCAATGACATCCAAATCACAACACCAGCCTACCTATCCCTATGAGCATGTGTGTGCATGCACGTCAATGAACACAGGCACACACATCCAAATACAAAGACATCTGTGTACACGTGGATGTGTGCACACGTATTTACACAGAAGGCTGTATCAGTGTGAGAGACGCAACCTGCCTGATGGCATTAACAAGACTCGGGAAAAGCTTGACAACTCTCACCAAGTCCAGAAAGAAAGTGAGGATGGTTGACTCCGTTGACTTCACAAGTTTAAGTGGCACAGGTGAAGTGTGTATACATGATGTCATTTCACCCTACAGACTCTCTGGTTTCAGGCAAAGAGTCCTGTCCTTGGCGTCATTACAGAGACCAGGCTCTGATCCTCCTCAGGTGACTCTCCCCCACTCCCGCAGCAGCCACCTAGGTACCTACTCCTTGGTGTTGTGTTTACCCAAGGGTCTGAAATGATGAGATGTTCTCACCCAGGCCCAATGGGTAGGAATGAGGGCCCCTGCTTAGGAAAATGGGGAATCCTGGATATGAACTCAGCGTAAAGTCGTACTGAATTTGTCACAAGTTTGCAACTGAACATTACTTGAGTTCCTGTGTGAGCTTTTGTATCTCTTCCAGATAACACAGACCTATTCCTGAACAAGACTCACTTTCTCTTCCTGTGCAGGCAGGCCTTTGGGAGTCATACATGGCCACTGAGGAAGAAGAAACCGGGCTAGAGAGAAGCGGAGATGACGGCGGCGTCGCTGAGAGAACCTGAGGGGAGCTCCATGTGGCCAGTGTCCTCCAGAGCCCTGATGACAAAGGCTGACAATTCCCGTCTGCAGCTCAGGACCAGCTGCCACACTGACACTCAAACCCCCAGGGGTCATGAAGCAAGTGACATCATAATCACATGGCTCCCTGACCAGGGGATGTCAGAAAGAGGACCAGGAAGTCAAATGTGATCGGGACGAATGTTGTTCATCGTTATCTACGTCGGCCTAGCAGAGAGTAGGTTTTGGTGATCATTTTTAATTAATATTTTTTACTCACTTAAAATAAAAGATGAAAACTGATCATTGGAATTATTTAATGAAATACTAGAAATTTTTAAGCTGTGTGGATTTAATAAAGTCCATCACGCACATGGGTTTTTTTTTTCTCATCTACTTTTACTTCCGATTTCTCCTTTGTATATCAACATCTCTAAATGTCAGCAATCTCCACAATAATTTTCCTGTAAATACTATATCCAATCTTTGTGGCGGTAGCATTAATTAGATAACAAAAATCTTAACGAGCTTGAAACGTCTTCGTTTTGCTACTGAAGAAACATGAGACCCAGTGGCAGCAAGGGACTTGAAACTGGCCAACAACTAGTTAATGTCGGAGTCGAGGCTAAGCCCCACATGCCCCAACTTGGTGCTCAGGGCCCTTTCTTCTCATCCAAACCCACAGGCACGGTGGTGAGGGCTTTCAAACTGAGGTATGCGCACCGCTGCGGGCGATGGCAGGAGGCCAGGGAGGTGAAGCCACAGGATAAACACAGGGTGTTTGGCTTCAGAGTAAATATTACTCAAAGATTAGAGAAGAGTTAGGAGAACCACTTTATTTTTATTAAAACAAGATTGATTATAAAGGAGGCTGCACATTCTAAATGAATTTTTAAGATTTCAAGTTGGTTTCCTCCAGCTATCATTGTAGCACATGGTAGTAAAGGCCTTCTGTTCATCCTGCTAGGGACGCTTGCTAGAATAATAAAATAATAAAGACGAGAACAATGATAGTAAATTTGCTAACGTAAGGACATTTGGAAAAGAGTTTTTCTGCTAAAGTGCCTTTAATGGCCTCTGTCCTTGCCATTCTGTGGCTGTCCACGTTATTTTAGTCTCCATGATCACTAAGTAGCAATATTTCTAAGACTACATTAAGATGTTACAATGAAGGACCAGAAAGAAGGATCAACAAGTCAGGGCATCCCAGATGAGAGAATCCCAACTCACACAAGAGAGATCACAGAGAAGCCAATGTGACTGGTCCCAACGCCCGGCTAGCCCACAGCTACTACAAACTAAAACCCATATTAGAAGAGAGTTGCCAAAGGAAACGCTGTCTACCCAATGCTGACCCTCGCTCTGTTCTCTTGTGAGATTGGAATCTTGGGGAACCTCAATACTACCAACCTCATTCTCCGTCCTGGGTCTGGGTGCATGATGCGGCCTCGGTGCGGAGGTGTTAGGGACACCAAAACCTCGGGATTAAATTGAAATTTGAAAAATTTTAATGCTATGCTTTCAAGTCAAAACTGATGCCAAATAATAATCCATGAACAAAACGTCAAATTTTATATGAGGATAAAATTGTATGCGTTTCTGTTTGAATGGGACTACTCCAAGACAGCAGAGAACCGCTTCGCTGTTTCCTTCCGCGGCCTAGGGGAAACCTCCTTTCTGTAAATGAAGCCTGCTGGCGCTCATGTCTGGACTCTGGGGAAATTATTGCTGGGCAGCTGCTTGCTCTGGTCCGGCGCCACTGCACGGGGCAACCCACACATCTCACGGGAGAGAGGACACAGGGGTGCTGTGATGTACCCGGTACACGTCACAGAAGTCAGGATTTGGCTTCAGATCCTGCCTGATTTGCACTGGCCTTTAGTTGAAAGACCGTGGGAAGGGAACCATGAGGCCTTGACTAAGCCCAGGGGACTATTAGTGCCCCTCACCGCCATAATTTTTCTGATGTCCAGAGACCAGAAGTCCTCCTCGCCGCCCGTCTTGCCATGCTCCAGCCTCCAGAAGAAGCCGAAAAATCCTCTGCAAAGCAGTCTCCAGGTAAAGAAGGCCTCCCTCCCTTACCAGATGAACAGCCCGGGAGCGGGATGGGGGCGGGGGTGGAGGACTAGAGGCCACCCCTAGTGTCCTGGTACAGGGGATTCTGTGGTGTTAAACCCCACTCAGTCCCTTTAGCCTCAGGGGTTTCGGTACGCTTGGGGTCCACACTAAATCCTAACCTGGGCTGTGTTGCACAGGGGTGCAGGAATTGATCCTCAAAGACGTTTCTTTCAGTAGGTTTTAGTGTACCGTTTGGTCATTTGGCGATTTTAAACCATAATCTTTCCGTATTGAATTCTGAGAGCGGTAGTGGCGAAGGCTGCTGTGTGGAAACTCCCCATCGCAAGTCTGTAGTGGATTATTTCTCGATAAAGAACCAATTAACCTGAAATCAGACACACACACACACACACACACACACACACACACACACACACACCAGGCTGCTAAGCTGTTCCCAAATTCAACAGCATTCCCAAATAGCAACTCCCGCTCGGTACAATGCCGCAGACCTAAACTGCACCTTCACACAGTGCCCACCCGGGACCACATTGTGGTGGTGGGCGCTTTCTCCCTCCTGGGTTCCTTTCCCTCCTTGTCCTTTCTCACGAATTTGCACGTTGCCACGACTTTATATGTGTCCTTTTCTCTCCTCTGGGCTGTTGTAACTCACCAGGTCTGCAGATTTACCCTTCAGTTTCTGATGGGACCCACATCCACCCACACAGTTTTCTTCTGAACACCTTACTCGTAGAATATGTTTCCTCAAGGCCAAAAGCTCAAGTGTTTCTCAGCTGGCTGCATCTTCCTTCCGGGCTCTTTTCTCCTCCTCAAGCCAGCCAACATAACACTGTCACCAGCATGGCATCATCGTGACCCTTGCCTGTGCCTTCTCATTGCCCTTGTTATCTGCCTTTGCCTGGAGTCTCTGTCCACACACCATAGATATTAGCCATTGCTCACTCCCATTTCCTGTCACGGAATCATTCTTGATTTCTCAGAAGTGGCCTTGCTCCGTGCCTGTACCCCTCTCTGCACCCCAGTCTATACCGCACAATGCTGCTAGAGGCATCTTCCGGAAGCTTGTCCCATCCTCTCTCCAGTTCAAAGACCCTGTAGGATGCTCATATCTGCCCAGTGTTAAGTCCAAAGTCACATTCCCCACTAGTTAACTAAGCCTATACCTTAGGTATCATCAAGGAAAGGGAGCCAGAGAAGAGGAAACAAGTCTTTGGGATAACTTCACAGGACACATTGTTTAAACGCGGTAGCATGGCTGTCACGTGAGGAAGTAGACCTTCATTGGGCAGTCTTACTTGCATGTAGTTTGTGCAAATGCGTGTAGACGAATTTGTGAACCATGTGCTATTAAGTTAATTTCAAGTGACAGTTTACATAAAATGTGTGGTTTTCAGTTAAGTTATTGAAGCCCATTAAAGTGTTATTTGGGTAGTAATTAAGTGCACAAATCTTAATTAAATTCCAAATCTAAATTCAAAGTTAGCCCTTATGGTATGATTTCCAAATACCTTTTTTTTTTTTTTTTTTTTGGATTTTTCGAGGCAGGGTTTCTCCGTAGCTTTTTTGTTTCCTGTCCTGGAATAGCTCTTGTAGACCAGGCTGGCCTCGAACCTCAAACTCACAGAGATCCGCCTGCCTCTGCTGGGATTAAAGGCGTGCACCACCACCGCCAGGCTCCAAATACCTTTCTTAACCTATTTTCCAATTGTTTTCCTCCCGCCCTTCCTCTGTGCTCAAGGGTGTGTGGTACTAAGGTCTTGTCTTTCATCTCTGGAGTACTCAGTCCCTTCCATCAAAATCCTGGTTCTTGTCTCTATTTTTTATTGATATTTATTGAGCTCTACATTTTTCTCTGCTCCCCTCCCTACCTCTCCCCTCTCCCCTTCAGCCCTCCCCCAAGGTCCCCATGCTTTCAATTTACTCAGGAGATCTTGTCTTTTTCTACTTCCAATGTAGATTAGATCTATGTAAGTCTCTCTTAGTGTCCTCATTGTTGTCTAAGTTTTTGAGGGTTGTGATTTGTAGGCTGGTTTTCTTTGCTTTATGTTTAAAAACCACTTATGAGTGAGTACATATGATAATTGTCTTTCTGGGTTTGGGTTACCTCATTCAAAATAATGTTTTCTAGCTCCATCAATTTTCCTGCAAAATTCAAGGTACCGTTATTTTTTCTGCTGTGTAGTACTCCATTGTGTAAATGTACCACATTTTCCTTATCCATTCTTTAGTCGAGGGGCATTTAGGTTGTTTCCAGGTTCTGGCTATAACAAACAATGCTGCTATGAATATAGCTGAGTACATGTCCTTGTGGCACGATTGAGCATCCTTTGGATATATACCCAAAAGTGGTATTACTGGGTCTTGAGGAAGGTTGTTTCCTAATTTTCTGTGAAATCACCACACTGACTTCCAAAGGAGCTGTACCAGCTTCATCTTGTCTCTCTTTAAACCCAGCCTCTTGGTTCTGCCCTGAAACCTATCACCCAGAACAACAGGAATTTGTCCTCTCTCTTCCTTGATGACAATGTCTCCCCTTTCTTATAGCCCTTAGCATTTGCCACCTTCCTGTATCTGCTAGGTATCCCTGATTGTCTCCCACTGACAGATTTGTTCACAGACATCAGGTATCTTACCGAATGTATCCCTAGCTTTAGCAGGTAAACGTTACAGACTGGTCACAGCCTAAACTAAACGGGCCACAGTTTTCCATGGGTGGCTGGGTGATTGTGTTTGGATCTACTGTTCCTTTTTAAAGAATGTCTGCCAGGTCCATCTTGTCAAAGAAAATGACATGAAAATTCCTCAAGAAAACTAAGTAGATTCACTGTATCATTTCCGCATGTTTCCCTAAGTGACGTGGAAAGGAGAACTCACGTGGTATCTGTACACCCACGGTCACGGTGGCACAGCTGGAAGGCAGATCAATCTACTTGTCTATCTACATGAGTGTATAGATACAGTAGAATGGCATTGAGCTTTGCAAAGTGAATTTCTGATACATACTACCACATAAAAAGTAAAGACATTCTGCCGACTGAAATAAACCAGCCACCCATGGCCAAGTGCTGCAGAGGTCTGTTTACTGGAGGTCTGTAGAAGAGAGACTCTCATAGAAGCAGGAAGCAATGTCTGCCTGCCACAGCTTGAGGGGTGGGGTGGGAGGAGCATGTGTGAAGGGCGGAGCTTCCGATGCAAACAGAGGGAAGGTTCTGGCAGAAGGACAATACTGGTGGTTCTACAGCAGCGTCAATACAACTCCTTGAGGATGTCCCTGATCCTACGGAGCCATAAATCTGAAAATGGCAAAACGAGTAAAATTTCTGTGTGTGTGTGTGTGTGTGTGTTTCCACAATAAAATCATCAGGGAAGGATGCTGGAAGCCTCTTAAAGGAAGGGCTGTGTGTATCACCAGTGATGCTGCGGAGGGGCTGCTGCCTCCGTTGGCTGGAAGAAACCTAAAACGTCACAGCACACCTTGGTGGTACTTTGATATCCAAACTCTATGCTGCAGTCATATAAAATTACCGGGTGAAAACAAACACACCATAATAAAAATTGTATAAGTGATTAATTGTACCAGCAATTTACAGCTTAGGGTGATATTTGCAAGTTCCTATTCATCTCTTACTTTTCTAAAAAAAATTTTAAGCCTTAGTATTTCTTCTGTGGCTGACCTTTTGAAAATGCATAACAATGGTTATCGAGTTATTACATATTTATCATGAAATATTAAAACACTTCAAAATACATTGCCTTGAGCTAGGCACTGTAGCATTGCCAACAGCCCCAGCTACTCAGAAAGCTGAGATGAATCACTTTCAGCCAGGAGTTCAAGACTATATAAGACTGTGTCTCAGTACACACACACACACACACACACACACACACACACACTTACTTTATATATAGCATATATACACTTGTATATAGTATATATTCTAGAAAGTAAAACTTCATGATCACGTGAGGCTTTTGTTTTCAGTTTGGAATATGTATATTGTGTATATATATGTATATATATATTTAAATTTTAATAGAAAACAGGCACTGGGGACTAACAAATTACATTGACAATAACTTTTTACTTAAAAGCATACGTCTAGGCATCCATTTCTCTTACTGGTCTCCAGAGAAACAAAGCCACTGAAATACACAAGTATATAAGCAGAGATTTACTAGGAGGGATGGGCTCACCCGGGTGGAAGGACTGGACCACTCAAAACCGGTGTCTGCAAGCCGGAGGTCTGAGCCCGGCCATGGCTTGGTCGCTGGGAGTTATGGAGAGAAACATGGGTGTCCAGCTCCACAGGTGTAAAGGATGTGCCTACCTCTGCCTTTGTGCTCCATTTTCAGCATTCAGCGGACTGGGTGATGACCACGTCACTGGGAATCAGTTTGTTTGTGCAGGCAGCCAGTTCAAATACCGTTCTCTTCTACAGACACACTCACCAGCTGTCAAGATCATGCTGTACCAACTCCTGAGCATCTCCTATTCCATCAACATGTAAAATTGAGCATCATACCCTTCTGCTTACATTACTGTACAACTGTTCCCCTGTGAGGTCACACCCTAATCTATACCCCAATTACTGGGAATATTTCATAGCCACGGAGATTATGTTGAGATTAACAACAATACATTTCCCTGTGCAAACTTACCTGCTTCTGAGTAACAATGGCTAGGTGAGGTGAAAATTATGATTTTATAACTTTAAAATTATAAACTTTAAATTTGATAGCTTTAACAGAATACACATTTATTTCTACTTTGGGCTTAAGTCACTTGGCAGTATGGAGATTGACGGTGCATACTGCAGGCTGAGACTTTAGGTGTGTAAGCTGAAATACCCAGGTCAGAGCATCTAAGCCTGACCCAATGAGTTTTTCCAAGATTTTGTGTTTGTGAGTGTAAAATATAATCTGGCGATTGGAAGACCTGAGCCCAGGTCTGTCAGTTCTGCAGCCCCCCAGCTTCGGCTTGATTGACATGAGTCAAGGGAAGTGAGAAGGTTTGGAGTCTCTCTCCTTCACTAGGGCAGCCACCTTTCTCGGGACGCTATTATCTTTCTGCCCCACTTGCTCAAACTCCTTAAAGAGCCCGAATAGCAAATCCACTCTCAGAACCTTATAAATCACCTCCTGACCCTGCGGCCTTACCACCCACACCCAGTCCCGCAGAAGAGCTGTGGTTGTTTGGATTCTGATCATTGCGATGTTTGTGGGCCCCAGCACTGCACCAGAGACCCCTTCACTTCTGTTGCATCCTGTTAGCTCTACTCTTGAATGGCCCATTTCCCCATAGTGCTCTCAGTCAGGAGGCCTACAAATGTTTATTTTGTCATTATTAAAGAAAAGGGTGTTTGGAGTTGCTGCTGGATTTGTGCTTTTAAAATAAAGCTTGTGGCAATAAAATAGGAAAGACCTTAATGTACCCTGAAAAAAAATGACATTTATTCATTTATTTGGTCCTTGCTGAGGACTTACCTGTACTGAGCATACAGACCCTTGAAAGATCGTCCCTAAAAATATACATCATATTTTACTCCTCTACCTCCAATCTGGCTGTGGGTGTTTTCTATACATACAGAACCCTGTCAAACACTAATTCTTCATTTATGAATGAACGTTTAAGAATAATTGTTAAAGAATCAAAATACCCTACCTAATTAACAGCTTAATTATGGTATATGCACACACATATGTGTTTCTTTTTTTCCTTTCTGGTTAAAAGTTATTTACACATCTGTGCCTAGGGTTAAAAATAATGAGATTCAACTACAAAGATGAGTAAATAATATATAATTGTAGTGTTGGAATTTATCAATTTAGAGTGCTTGCCTCCATATTCGACTTTCTTTTGATCTCTTATAGACATATTGTTATTGACTGCAAATGTCTCAGTATTTTTGCTCATTGGAATGTGGTTTGACGGATTAATTATATGTTACCAGGCAGTTGAAGATCAGGTAAAGATATGTGGTCACAAGAGGGATGCGGATGTCTTCGAGCTGTTCCTCTCTAAAAAGTAAGTGTGCTTTTTTGGAACAACACAGAGGAGTATCAGTTATAATCTTTTATAAAGGCAAATGTTTTTTATTACCCCTTCTTCAAGGACTGGGTGGGTGTCTGCAGCCTGATCACTTTAGCCCCTCTGGGAGTGGATCCTTTACACTGGAGAGGCAAGTGTTATTATTTTATGCTTGAAAAACATGAAAATCAGAGGTTGTTGATCCAGGCTGACTAGAGGTGATCTTGGGATGTTTGGAACTTTCCTGCTAGGACTACCACATTGTAAAACTAATAGAACACGAGTTAAATATCAATTTTAGAAAAGCGGTGAATGATTTTTAGTATCATTATGTCCCTAACAATACTCATTACTTCTCAAAAGCTGCAAATATTAACTCAGTAGGTACCATTTTACTTCATTAAGCAATCCTACCCTTGTATAATAATACAACCTATTTCAGGCTGATTGTGACATGTAGGAGAATTAGAAACCACAGAGGGATCTGGCACACGGCAAGCACTCAGTTATCATTAGGACAATTAATATTATTGCTATTGTTATGAATATTAGCCTATTGTTCCCATATAATAAAAACCACTATTGTACGATAACCCCTAAAACCACTTATATTCATTTGTTAGCAAACAGGAAAAATCTTTTCCTTTACGTCAAAGAGGTGTTCTACATAACACAGGAACCCCAGTGTCTGCCACAGACCCCAGGGACAAGAGCGAGAGGAAGCGATATACACGGTTGGACTCTGACCACACCGTATTTCCACTGGCCACTAAGCAACATCCTGCATGGCCACTGTCTGCATTTTAATAGCAACAAAACTGCTCTGATTCATATGCATCTCCCCAAATTCATAGGTTAAAAACTAAGTCCCTAAAGCACTGATGTGGAGACGCAAGACCCCTGAGAGCTGATTGACCCTTGAGAGCTCTGCATCTCATTCATGGACTAATGGTGGAGTCACCAGAACAGGCTCGTTGTTTCGGGAGTGAGTTCTCATAAAAGCAACTTCGCTCCCCTGTCCACACGTGTCTTCACCATGTCGTAAGGCAGCAAGAAGGCCACGCCACAATGGGATACGACTCAGCATAGGAGTGGGTAGATAAAAAGAATAGATTCAAAACACTGAAACATTAGAAAGAGTGACCCTTGGCTATGAGTGATTAGCAGTTTTCTTATCTAGAAGACAACAGAGTAGGGGTAAAAAAAAAATATTTCACAGTCGACTTGCATAAACTAGGCGAGCTGGTATTTTGCTTAAGTCCCTGTTGCCTTTGGAGCTACAGTGTCTTATCAATGTAACCTGTCAGCACAAGCAATAGCATCATTAGTAGTAGATTTACATCTCCTGGTCTTGATTGGCCTCACCTTAAAATGTAACAACTGACTATTGATCCACGGCAGTCTTGTGCTTGAAAGTGTTTTCAAAAAAATGAATCACTTGGTCACATGATGTAATAAACAGATTTTCAGCACTGATATTACTACTCTAAGAAACCTGATAGGAATGGCTGGACTCATTGATACGATACTCGTGGATTAAAATTTATTGGAAATTCCCAAAGTGAGACTTGTACTCAGAACTTGTTTTTATTATGTCGAGGGAAGAGAGTTGAAGTTGACACGCTACCATCATAGACTGTGTCATGGTCAGGCTATGCCATGTTCTAAGGACGCCTTCTTAGAGAAAAACATGTCAACTACAAAGAGAGAGGATGCATTAGTGCTGTTCATTCCCCACTGAAAGTAGCTTTGGAGAAAGCAGGTATTTGTTGTTGCATCAGGGAAACTGTGTGTGAGAGGGTGCATAAATCCAAAGATGGTGGAGACGGAAAATAAAGGAGAGAGAGAGGAGCACATGCTCTTTGTGGAAAAAGAAGTTTAGGACATAAGAAGAACGAGAGCATGAGAAGAAAACATTTTGCAATCCCAAATCAGGTAGGGGTCACCGACTGAAGGCGGTGATGTTGTGGGGAGCAGGAGTTTCACTGGAGTCAGAGTGGAGCCCTGCATGTTAGCTCTTTATAAAATCTCTGTTACAATAGAGTCCTGGCACTCCTTAGATAACAGAACTTAGCTTTACCAGAAGAGGGACAAACCAACATCATTTAACTTCTGGTGGATCGCAGAATTTCCAGTAATGCCATTAAGAAGTGGTATATCTGGAATATAAGTGTGAGGAAACTGTAAGATAAATCAAGAATGTGGAACATTTGGCCGGCCAGTTGTCTGGGGCTTCTCAAATTGGAAATGTGTTAATGGGGAAGAGCTTGGCAGATGTAAACTTAAGATGACTGGAGTTATATCAACTGAATATAATATAGAAATATGATGCAACATAAACAAACTATAAAGGAAAAGTAGGTGAGTAGGGTGTGGATAATTTATTATCTGATGATTTACATTGTCGAGTTAAACTTAATCTCCTTAGGTGTGAAAGTGGTATTATGATTTGCAGGGAAAAAGTTAATTTGTAATCTATGGATATTGAACTATTTAGGAATGAAAGTAGGGCTCTCACTCCTAAATCATAAGCCTTATTTTCAAATGACTCTAGGAAAATTACACACACAGAGTGAGGAAAATGGAGTAATATATTTTTTACAGGTTGTGGGCAAAGAGATGGTATAGCAGTCAAGAGTACACAGTATTGTCTGAGTTCAGTTTTCAGCACTCATCTCAGGCAGTTCACAACAAACAACTATCATGATTCAGTTCAGAGACACAGCCCTTGGACTGGAACCTGAGCTGGAATCCCTAAGCACCCTAAGCATGGTGAAGGCACCATGCACGATTCCAAAGGGGGGAGGGAACCAACAGTCCCACCCAGCTCTGATGCCTATCAACCACTCAACAACCAACTTTGAACAATAACCCTAAGGGTGCAGCAGTCCTGGCATACCTTGGTGATAAGCTCAGCTCTCTATTTGAACTTAATACACACTCAACAAATGGGAGACCATGCCTGGTAATGGAAACCTAACTAACTCCTCAGTGCTAATAGCATCATAATTATTGGGGGAGAATTTACAGCCTGTAGTTTACTAAAAGAGAACAATCCCTAACATCAATCTCTAAGCATTTGACCTTAGACCCACAGGTCAGTGGAGTCTTCCTTATCAAGGAAACTTCTCTTTGCAACTGATGGAGACCACAACAGAAAACCACAACCAGTTGAATTTCACCATTGTGGAGCCAGTCCCAATGTTATTCCCATGCCTAAGGCTCAGGGAATATGGCAAAAGGGGTGAGAGGATTGCAACAGTCAGAGGACTGGGAAGTTTGCTCTTTAGTAACATAATACACATACAATGACAGGTACTGAAAAAGAGGCAATGAATTTGAAAGAGAGCAGGGATGGGTATTTAAGAGGGCTTGGAAGGAGAGCTGTAGTCATTGTAATTTCAAAACAGAATAGTCTTAAAAGTCATTCTGAAAATCTATAATTGTACCCCTCCTCTTTTCTTAGACTGATTTTTTCCTATAAAAAAGCAGCGAAAAGGGCTTGTTTTGTTTAGAAATATCATTTACATGCTTTGAAACTTTTATCAGGCACGATGGTTCACATCTTCAGTCTCACCTATTCGGAAGGTTGAGGCAGGAGGATTGCAGGTTTAAGGCCAGCCTGATCTACACAGGAAGACATTGTCTCATAAGAAGTCAGAAAAGAATTTAGTTCCTTGGAGTTGCGTGGCAAGTGTAACTGTGAGTGTCTGGGAGTTGCACACACCTGTAATCCCAGCACTTGGAAGGTCAAGGAAAGAGGACAGGGTTCAAGTCCCATCGGAGCTACGTACAGATACTGTGACTCCAAATACCTTTTAAAGTTTAAAGAGAATGGAAAGATGTTGCCATGAGTGAGTTTGTCTGTGTAATATAGTAGTATTTTAATACTACCACTGGGTGTTTATTACATGTCCTGCACACTATGGACTCTGCAAGGTTTGAAAGAGGAAAACCACATGCAAGCTTAAATGCTTGATAACCAAAATTTCTACTCTAAGAACTCAAAAGCGATCTGAGAACTCCCAAATGGCCACCTCTCCTCAGAGACACCACCCTCTGTCATCAGCCCGTCTGCCCAGTCCACATCTGTTGTGTGAGTACATCAACCATGGTAACCAAGGCTACCTGGATGGTCAAGAGGCCTAACAATTCAAGATGGGTGGGCAATGTAGTCACCAGGAGATGAGTGAGTCACAAAGTCCCCTCCTCAGCCCTTGTCTCCAGGTGTCTGACCGTCTTCATCTCCTAGATGATGTTTCGCTACAATAGGACCAATGTCCAGTGTTCCCTTCATTTTTCCTCCCTTCCCAATCCCCCGAAAAATATGTTAAAATGAACTGCCATAGTAACTACGGCTAATGAACTTTATTGGCAACACAAGCTTAAGTCAAATGATGGACTATTGCAATGAGAAGGTAAGTGTACCAACGATTCTGAAAGGATAGAGAGGCCTTGCTGGTCCCTCCCAACTAGCAGTATGGCCAGCCTTACCTGAAAGCAAATGAATTGTTGCTAATATTGATGGGTTTTTTTTCTTTCCAGGGAACTGACAGAGGTTGTTGATCTTTCTAGATTTAGAAATTTAAAATATTTATGGCTCCACCATAATAAGGTAATGTTATGTTGTATCTTTAAGTTACTTAAATGTCTTAATTTTATGTTTAATTTAATGGAGCTAATATTTATAATATCAAGGAATATTTGTACAAGATAACCTCAAATAAGAAACACACAAGCCAATATATGTATACGTGGTTCAGAGATATCCGGTACCTATATATCATGTTGAAATTAGGAGCGGCAGGGCTGCGTCCCCGGCACCTGGCCGCCCGCATGGCTAGTTTATACCCAGAAATAATTACACGGAAACTGTATTCTTTCAAACACTGCCTGGCCTGGCTAGGTCCAGTTTCTTATTGGCTAGCTCTTACATATTGTTCTAACCCATTTCTAATATTCTGTGTAGCCCATGAGCTGGCTTACCAGAGAGGATCTTAACCTGCGTCTGTCTGGAGTGGGAGCATCATGGCGACTCACTCACTCAGCTTCTTTTTCCCAGCATTCTCCTCTGTCTACTCCGCCTACCTAATTTTCTGTCCTATGAGGGCCGAGGCAGTTTCTTTGTTATTAACCAATGAAATCAACAGATAAGATACAAGACCCACCTCCATCACTATCAGACATCTGCACATCTGGTATATTGAATAAAACAGTGTGGGAGGTTCTATCAGGTCACAGTTTTAATTTTGCCTCCCCAGTTCTGTGAAAGAAAGCTTGGGGAGCCACTTCACTCCTTTCTGAATAATACAGAACATTACAGTCCATTTGGTCAATGTCTTAGACCACCTTCATAAATGAGAACATTTTTCATATATTACTCCTCCTTTACAGACAGGCAAACACATACCCGTGCACACACACACACACATGTGTGCCTTGCACACACATACACATGCATGGGTACAGAATCAGATGCATGTACCCTGCCTTGATGAGATGAAATTTATATCTCCTTGTTGAGGAATTTGTTGTAATCATGTTACTGGCAATTAATGTGACCATAGTGTGTGTGTATGTGTGTGTGTGTGTGTGTGTGTGTGTGTGTGTGTGTGTGCTATGAATATTGTCAAGGTAAGCTTAGGTATATCTCTTTTGGTATTATTTGTTTTCATTTTTTGATCAATATAGCATGGTATATTGTGGCTGACTGGGTTTCTTGATGGAAGAATTCGTTGATTAGATTATTTGTCCTTTTGGTATTTAACTTTTTGCAGATTGTGTGTTTTGTATATTGGCACTCTGCTGCATAGCTGGCAAGAGCTTTCTCTCACTCCTTTTCTCTCACTTCTGTCTTTAGCTCTGTGATTATTTCTTTTACTTCATGCGGCGATTATTATTTTCTCATCCTATTTGTAAATTCTTGCTAATATTTCTGGAGCTATTAGAGTCCTGTTCAGGAAATCATTACATATGGCTCTATCTTAAAATACGTTCCGTGTGCTTGCTTTCCTCTTGTTTTACACTGAGAACTCTGACCAGGCCAGCTTTTCTCATGCGCGCTCTCACACTCAATTCCCCAGATGCCTGCGCCTTTGTCTTTCAGTCAAAGAAAAAGGTGTCAGTGAGCCCAGTTGTTAGTGAAACGAATTTAGCTTCATCAGAAAGCATCAGGCACCACACAGCCATGTCTCTAACTTTAGGGAATAATTCTCCAGGTCAGAAATGAGATCTACAAAGCTTCCATTAGAGGCTGTGGTATAGAATTAAGTGCTACCAGCCTGCCCTCGTAGGAATGTCCTCAGTGTGATGCTCCCTCCTATCCTGCCCTCATAGGAATGTCCTTGGTGTGATGCTCCCTCCTGTCCTGCCCTCCTAGGAATGTCCTTGGTGTGATGCTCCCTCCTATCCTGCCCTCCTAGGTATGTCCTTGGTGTGGTGCTCCCTCCTGTCCTGCCCTCGTGGGAATGTCCTTAGTGTGGTGCTCCCTCCTGTCCTGCCCTCCTAGGAATGGCCTCAGTGTGGGGCTCCCAGCTCCTTCCAAGCAAAAGAGCAGAATCAACTAACACTCCATCCCAAACAGTAATTCCAGTTAACTAGTCAGAAGATGGTGTTCAGCCTTAAGTGTGGCTTTCCAACAGCCTGGCTTTTGTTCACTGTCCACTGATATCTCAATCTTAGCATTTTTAATTTAGATTTCCAAACACCAGCAGTGAAAAGGATGGCAATCTCTTCCCGACAGTGAGCTGCCTTTGTGCCGAAGTCCACATTCACAACACTGGCTCTTTAACAGCTATGTTTATGAAAACACTTCAGTATGTCATTGACTTTTTTTTTTTTAACCAACTGGGTGGAAATGGAAAATGAAATTGCTTTCAGTATTAACTGTAAGCATCAGTCTGTCTCTTAATCTTGAAGTAATTTCTTGGAGGAAAGACATAAAAATACCTCCAAGGCTCCGGCAGCGAACAACCGAAATGGAAAGTAGATGTTCCACTTAAGGGTATTAAAATTCAAAACTCTCCTAAGCACCCTGCCAGAACTTATCCTGGGTCACAGCACACGACCTCTGATTAAAACAAGATGGAAATCTCCAGGCACGGCAGCAGTGACTCATTCTTGTTTGCAGTATGGTCCCTGGTCGCGGCCGTTTTGAAAGGCAGACGTACAAATGTTGCACCGTGTCTAAGGGGAGAGACATGATCGGGTCTTTGTGATGTTTCTCTGCTCTCGGTCAGCCGGGACTGTCTGAACTCCAGCCACCCACTGTGTCTTCATACAGTGGTCCCCACAGAGGCAACGCACAGAGAGGAAGGGGTCCCATGCCTGTCGACATGGTCTTTCTTTTTAAGAGGGTGAAGCAGGGAGAGACTGAGGCCTTCCGCTCTTGTATGTGCAATGGACAGCGTTCTTTTTTCTCGAAGGAACACATGGTGTAGCTTGTGTTATGTGGAAAGGTCAACCCTTCGGACATGTTTTAACTGCTCGTGGGATTGGGGAATGAACTAAGCTAACATGAGTTTTCTATTGATTGATTGATGATTGAGTAGGTACCCAGATCGCAGAAATTTGGGCGAGATTTATTTGGCAATAAGTTTGGGTGTATGCATTTACCCATTTGAAAACACCTCACCTTTCCCAGAAAATAATTACAAGAACCCTCCCTCCTTGAATATAGGAGTTACTAATAAACAAAATCAACCATACGAGTCCCACATATTTTATGCTTTATGAAGAATTTCTCTTACCTCAGGGACATTAACTACATACTTTTGTCAACTTTGTTGACTTACATTTTGCTAAATGCTTAAAACATAAAAAAAGAAAATTGACACAAATAATCAACATAAAGCTCACTGTACTGCTGTGAAATCATGGGGATGAGCATTGTATACCTGGTCTTTACTTTTTGAAGGGGTTATTTTACATATTTGGGTCCTTTGCCTACATGCACAAATATACCGCATGCATGCATTTGCAATATGTACAGGTGCACTACATGCATGCAGTTGCCTACATGTACAGGTAACTACATGCATGCAGTTGCCTACATGCACAAGTGTACCACATGCATGCAGTTGCCTACATGTACAGGTGTACCACATGCATGCAGTTGCCTACATGTACAGGTGTACCACATGTGTGCAGTTGTCTACATGTACAGGTGTACCACATGTGTGCAGTTGCCTACATGTACAGGTGTACCACATGCATGCAGGGCATCAGATCCTCTGGAACTGGAGTTGTAGATGCTGGGAGTCACCGTAAGGGAGCTGGGAACCAAACCCAGGTCCTCTGGAAGAGCAGCCAGAGCTCAGAACTGCAGAGCCGTCTCTCTTTCTTTCTCTTTTAAAGAAAGAACTATAACTTACTTTTGGAAACTGCTTACATAAAATTTCAGTAAATTCCAAATAAGAGGGGGTAAGTGAAAATATTTGTTTGTTTGCTTGTTTGTTTTGATTTTTTGAGACAGGGTTTCTTTGTAGTTTTTGGAGCCTGTCCTGGAACTAGCTCTTGTAGACCAGGCTGGCCTTGAACTTACAGAGCTCCACCTGTCTCTGCCTCCCAAGTACTGGGGTTAAAGATGTGCGCCACCACTGCCTGGCACAAATTTAATTTTTTTTAAGTTTATATGTTTTAAGCCTGGATAAAATGAACATACTGTTTTAATTCATTAGGCAGAAACACTGTAGAAATGAATTTAGGAACCTAGAGTGAATATTAGTTTTTAATTCACTTTCTACCTATATGTTATATTATTAAAATTCTCTCAAAACTCAAATTTAAGTTTCTGTAAGATTCTCCGCACTCTAGTAAGAATGGCTATTATTAGAAAAACATACGATGCGAAATGCTAGTAAGGATATTGGGAAAGGGGAACTCATTCAGTGCTAGTGTGAACGCAACCTATGCAGCTACCATGGAAGTCAACCAATGAATGGATAAAGAATGTGATATATGAGTTTTATACAGCCACAAAGAAAAGCAAAATCACGACATTTGCGGGTAACTGAATGATGACTTAAAAATAATTTAAATAATGAAATTTTTAAAAGATTCTTCTCTGACTAATACTTAAAATTCTACTTTAAGAAATACTGGTATTTAACATTCAAACATAAATAAGTTGGTTTGCACAAGAATGTAGAGTTTTTGAGACCGTCTCCACATTGTTTAGCCTCTGGTCTGGGAGTCTTTGCTGTTACTGATTTTCTGAGCTAGGTAACTCTTGATGGTGAGAGTTGGCCATTTTAAGATATTAAACAGCATCCATGGCCTCTGCGCATTGGTTTCTAGGACTTCCCTGCCACGAATTACAACCAAAACTGTTTTCACATACAGTCTTCAGTTACTCCTTGGGGGCAGGGGGTAGTAGTCCCCACTACTAAGAATCACTCAATAGGACAAAAAAAAAAAAAAAAAAAAAAAAAAAACCAAGCAAACAACAACAGCAAAAAAGGCCTCTGGAAACCTAAGCGCAAACAGGTCAAGCCTCTGCTCAAATCCAGATTTTACAGTGCTTCTTGTCGCTTCCGCTAAGTGCTCAAGGGAGAGGAAACAGTACTGCATAAGGAGGTCCCAGCTATCGCTTGGCCCTGGAACTCCGGTCCAGTC